ATAAAAAAGTTTGTAAACAACCAGCCCATTTCGCTCGAGGACCTGGAATCAAACCGCCCTCAGAATCGCCCATCTGAATCTCCATCTTGGACTCCCAACCCGATCCCTCCAAAACCCAGCTGAACATGCCAACCCGGCCCTCGAGATTCATCCGCACCCTCACACCCCTCAACCACCACCCACCCGCCGAACCACTCGAGCTCAGCCCCTCACGGCGAAAACCCCACCCCTTCCGATCCGTGGGCAACTACGTCTTCACATCCCCCTGGAACCGCAACTGCACTTTCGGCCCGGGCGCCAACAGCCGCACTCTCAGGTGCAGACACACGCTCCCCCAGTCAAGCCACGCCCCATCATCCCCCGCCTCCGCCGTCACGGTCGCCGAAATCCGCTTCAACCTGCCCACCTTCCCGTCTCCGCCTCCTCGACCGGGGTCTTCGCATCGCGCCGACGGCGGGCCCAAGCCGCGGCACAGTAATGACTCGTTGTCTTCCCCGTTTGAGGAGGAGAGGCTGGATTTGAGCCTGGCGAGGGAGCGGGCGGGGGGCGGGATGAGAGGGAATAGTGCCAAGCTGGGGAAGCTGATTATCCAGGATGAAGGGCTGAAGATGGTAGATTTGATTGTGGCGGCGTGCATGGGCGTGTTTTGGGGGGTTTATGAGAATGCGTCTGGATAGTTTTGTGCTAAGCACTTATTATTTTTTCACCAGAGTTTGGTTCGATTGTTTTCTCTTTTGTTCTTTTTTCCTCACTTTTAGCGTTCTGCTTGACAACGTTATCCAGCGGTTTTTGGGGCGATATACCATTTGCGAATATTCCAAGTTCATCGAGCATAGAAATACATATCTTCATGTCTTTGCAAATCGACGGTAGTCCTAGCAATCATACGTATTTTTGCTGTTCCCATTTTCGGGTCCCGTTCTTGCATAAGGCTGATAATATCGATACAATATCGATCATGTAACTATGTATATAGCACTGGGTATCTATATGCTATAGACTAGGAGGCATAGGGCCTTGTTGAATCCACTATGGCCTGGATATAAAGTATGGGCTTTTGATCCTGGGTCTTGGTTGAGCAAGTGGAATTTGGACCGTGGTTGAGTTGACGGGTAAGGAACCACGGACGGCTCGTAAAGTCACGAAATACGCAGTAAGTTAACACCAGCTCGAGTTAGAGTTGGTATAACCATTGGGCTTGAGGGAAAAGGAATCCAGGATGTATATGGAAGAAAAGCGGTAAGAACAAAAGGTATAGTACCCGAATCAAGTTGCATTATATTTGATTTTTTTTTCCAAAAACAAGATAGAAAAATTCCTTATTAAGAAAAAATGTGATACACCTCAGATGAACGCCATATTGCATATCAAACAGCTTCCTTCCACACATGCAAAATAAACGTGGTGAGCCACAGACATCCGTTAAAGCCCAGGAACCAGGAATAAGTAAAATCTGAGCGGAAAGGGTGACAATGTCTCGATACCAGTTGCAACCGAGGCAAGCCAGTATGTGAGACTTGGACAGCGCGCAGAACCAAAGAGGTATTAAATGGTTTGGCCAATAGGATCACGTTGGTCCCCAAACTCACTACGATTAGCCACGAACCTGCGTAAGCGCAACTAGTTAAACAACTCGTACAATAGAAGCAAGGCGTCTCGAATCAAGGGGCAATTGATAGGCGGCGAAAAATATTGTAGCATCCTGCATCACCACGGATTTGGATGCCATAACGCCGAATAGGGGATACAATCGGGAGATGGATCGTTAAGTAAAGTATAAGCACAAGGCTCGCAGTGAATGAAAGCAGAGGGGGATCATTGGTTGTAAAACACGGGCATGACAGATTGTGAGAAAGTCGTTCAATTGGGTGGTTGCATGGATGCAAATCAATGGATTTTAGCCAAAGTCGCAGGGAAACTCGACTATAATCCCGGTCAATATTGCGAGTCAGGGTTGGTAACCTATAAAGATTAGCGTCCGCTAAAATCGAATTGCTTAAAACAGGGTCCAAGTACCTTAAGGATTCTTCTTGAGAAGTCCTGATCATCGGCAATGCTTCCGTTGCTTTGGCGTCTCTGGGACATGAGAGTAGGCTCCAGTCTCGAATCAGACATCGAGCTTTCGGAGTACGTTTTTCCGCTAGAAACGAAGTTACTGATGGTGGCATTGCGACGATATTCCTCCACCACTTCCCTGCGCTTCTTGTATTTCATATAGAAAATCCCTCCTCCAATGATAGCCGCCAGAGCGACAACACCCACAACCACACCAGCAGCAATGCCGGCTTTGTTTGGTCCCCCGCCTTCTTTTTCATCAGTGCCGGCGGTAACGACGACGGTTTGGCCAGATTGTGTGATTGTTCGCATTGGGGGGCTCGTAGAAGTGCTACTAGGCAGTGAACTACCATCTTCGTAGTCGACATCGTCATCCTTTTCTGTGATATAAACGGAAAACGCATTTTTTCCTCCGCCTAGAATCATTCAGTGAGATGAAACACAAGTAAGGTGGAAGGGGTAGGACATACATATCTCGTCAGGATAGCCATCACAGTCCCTTTTGCATTGATCATCATCGGTTTTGGAGGATCTGGGCGGCAATTTGTCCCCACAGTAGCAGTTTGTGCCTTTCGTCAGTGCCATGGCAGGCTTTTTTAATTTCTTGCACACTCCCCGGCAGTATCCCACCGATTGATATGTGTATTTGCCCTGATCCTCCATGGAGCCACTAGATTTGAAGCAGCCTTTCGTTGTGGCCTCGTCGATCGAAACGTCGGCTGCTGCACTCAGGAACATTTGAGGCCGCAATGGCGGCGAGCGGCAATAGAGTTCTCATGCTTGCGTGATATGCGTGATATGCGTGCGAAGGTGAAAAGATGTGGATATATTGGTGGTGGTCGATGGAACGACTGTCAACGTGATAAGTCTATGCGGCTCAGGGAGGCGAGACCAACACAAGCCTTTGAAGAAAATGTCCTCGCCGAAATATTCGATCGGATCCGGTAGTGAGAGGCGTATTTAAGTCTATAATGAATGGATAGGCGACTTTAGGGCGAAATGTACACTGCGAGGGAGGATTCGGTATCCAGGTGCGATCCGCTCTGAGTTGCTTCGGTTTCTGCTTCGATTCCTGGAGCTTACGCCTAACCCGATGTTATAGCCCTTGCACGCGAATGCCCTCGATGGGTCTGGCGAGGTTTCGATTGACGGAAGTCGTGGATGGAATGCAGAGGGTTGATGAATGAAAGTGGTGACCGGAGGGGGAGGGTGAATATGACTGCACGTCTTCACTCTCCCAACGGCAAGATAGTAAAGGATACAGCAGGACAGTTCAAAGAGCGGAATCAAAGACCAAGGGCAAAGACTGGAAGCGGACTTGATGGAAGAGTCAACAGTCCGACGGGGACGGTGATGGCACAAAAGGTGGACAGAAGGTGAAGATGGAAATGAAACGAGCGTGAAGGGATGGGTTGACGATGATCGTGGACGATGGATGAAACCTCCTGGAAAGGATCTGACCAGCAGGGACCACGCCCTGCTAACCGCTTTCGGCGTAAACAGTGCTGTGTCTTGAACGCCGTATGGCGTTTTACCGTTGTATGTGACTGTGGGGGCCCTGATGAGGGCGCGTGATTGGCTGAAGGCCGCCCGTTCGGGACCTATGAATACATAGCCGTAATCTTCGGTCTTGGCCGATACGAGACCATGGAAATGAATTGCGGGCCAGGAACACGCTAACCGCTTTGGGCCTGCCAGGTAAGTGGCTGTGCTGTACGGAGTATGGTACCTATCAATATTACCTGATGTTCGACATATTATGTGGTGATATTTCTCGATCGATGAGATCTCGGAGAATGAAGGGTGGCTGGATGGGGGACAGTCTGACAGAGGAATCATCAGGTGCTCTCAACCGATGGATTCTGGGTGTGGTTGCATTGTTCCTGTGAATCTCAAAGTATGATTGGGTTCCCTTTGACCCTTGCACTACCCAGGAACATTGACCTAGTCGCCAGTGAATGTCTCAGGACATCTCGGAAATCTCTCGCATCAATCACCGGTCTTGCGTCAGCACTGAGCAGAAACTGCCATCTGTGTATCTGCAGACCTCTTCGAACCTGGACAGGTTCTCTTTGAGCCTTGAGGCGACGACTGGGCCTCATGCCTTCTGATTAGCGCTTACAAAACACTTGTCGGGAGAACTGGCTCCAACAACCCAGGCCCGACCACTCCGCAGAAAACAAAAAAAAATTCCTCTTTTATTCGCTCACCTCGCTGCAAGGTCAAAAAAACAGTTGGGAATCGAGAGGATCAGCCTTCCTGCCAACTCATCGCCGCTGAAAAAAACTCAAAAGAAGTTGGATCAATTCCACTCATCCATCAGCAAGCTGCCAGCCTGCCATTGACCATCAGGGCTCTCTACACTCGGATCAAAAGGTGTGTTGCTCCGAACCCTGGTACTTGCTAGGCAACACGGCTCGCGCGAAAACAAGCCAAGTTTGCCCAACGCCCCAAGCCGACATGTGATTCACTCTTCGTCCAAGATGGTCCAATATTAGTGGGAAGAATGAATACATAATTATTGAGTGAACAGGTGTTTGCAAAACCGGTCAAATGACTGACGATGAAACGTCCCTCTTCTAAACCCATTGAGCTGAAGCAATTGTTACAGAACGAAGTTTGACTTGAATCTGTGTCTGACAGTTCTCAGATCTTTGAAGCGTCAAGTCAAAGGGACCATTCTTAAATCCCATTGTACACTCCGGAATATACGCTGCTGCCGTCTTAAACACAAGGTATAACCCGACGAGCTTTCCCAAAGAAGCAAGCGGCTAGTTTATCGCATAGGCTGAAGCAAAGGCAGCACTGAGATATTTCATCCTTCTCTAATCTAGCCAGGCAACATTAGGCAAATCCTGGAATCTCTAGATGTCCGAAGGCAAAACAATCTAAAGCAGAACACCGAGTTCAAATGTCTTGAGACGATGCCATTGATGCGTTACTAGCCGAAACAGAAAAGTCATCGGGGTTAACGTCAGGCTCTTCAGTGGCCTCCCACGCTACCGTTTCAACCCAAGATGGTTCAATTGAAACTGCTTCATTTCTGTGACATGATCCGGAACGACACTTCAGCCCTATTGCTGGCTTAAACGGTGGACTATTCGAGAAGGAAACCAATTGGGCCTTGAGCTTGCTTGGCCCGGAGTAGCCGAGGAAAGGCTTTTTGGTCATGTAAAGAATGCTTGAGTGATGCTGGTGTCATGAACGACTTGCATGGAAACTGGCGTTGGCCATGGAATTTGGCTTCATGATTGATGGAATAATGACTCACTTGTTGGGGCCTCGAACTGGGAACTCAAATTCGGAAGTCTGATGTTGGGAGGAATGGTACCTGACGCCAGTTGAACCATATCGAAAACTTTTGATATTGTATACTCCATATGGTACAATGTAATCCTGATTGCTCAAAGCCTCTTGTGATTATCATCGCAGCGAGACGCTGCAAAATCGCCATAGTAGCCGACCGATAAATCGAGTGATACTATCTTCCATCTAAAAAAATAGTAGTAAACCAACATTTCGAGCGGCACAAAATACCCACAGTGTATAAAAACCAAATTTTCAGTTTCAATAACAAATTCTTTGCACTAAGCAGTAATCTCGGGTATCTCCACTATCCCTCCGTCCCCCAGTTTCCAAAAGATCACGGCTTAGGGATATGCAGCGTCTTGCTAATCATCAGACAGCCCCATAGGGCAAACAAGCCAGCCACCGGGTGGAACTCGAACGCGGTTCCGCGTGCTACTACGCCGAGGGGTATGTCTTCGAGAACCCAGCCTTTCGACACCCAGTACGCCATCAATGCTGCGATGGACAAAGTGGTCGGGATGGGAGTTCCTTCAAAGTAATGCGATTTCCCCGTTTTATCCTTGGGAAGGGTGGCAACGGTAACGTTGAATCGGGGCGAGGCGAGTGAGGCCGCAGAGCACCAAGAAGGAGAGTATGATGTGGTCAAGAGGGGTGCGGATTCCAATCGCGAAGGCGGTGCGGCGGGTGCGACACCGAACGAGATCTATGGTGGAAAGGGGCTGTTAGTAATGGATGTAAAATGTGCAAAGGATTGTGTTTTCTCGGCTAGATAGAGGGGTTCCTACCAAGTCAGCTAAAGAGTCAAGCTCCTGGCCCATGAGCGACGACTTTCTTCTCCATCTGGCGACTTTGCCGTCCATGAAGTCGAAGAACAGCCCAAACGGCATGAATGCTAGTGCGATCCATAATGCCCCAAACTGATCTGGTTCCCCAAGGCAGTATCGCATTGAGGAGAATATCGACATTACTACACAGTAGGATATGAGTCGAGGAACTCTCAAGAAGAGACACATAGATACAACTTGCCTCCGCAGAATCCTAGTTGAGCAAAGTCAGCTTCAAAATCTCCGAAGAAGACATACAGGAAAGCAACACTCTTACCATTTAATTCAGTAATCAGATCGGCCAGGTGAAGGGCCCTATGTTGGAGGTTTTGCATCAGCTGCTAGCCTAGCGGTTCATAGCACTCAAAAAGGGCACCAACCTGATCATACTAAAATGCCCTGTATCTGTGGAGAGAAGCATTTTCTGTTTATCCTGGGCTGATGCAAATCAGCAGCAGGATCCAATCTGCACCTTTTGAAAAAGGTTTCTGGGTGCTTACCTGGATCTTTGTTGTTCGCACTGGAGCCAGAACCAACAGTTTCTGCTGGAGCTGGGATCGGGACAGAACTTCTGCGGGACATTGCCAAGCTTTGGACTCGTGAGCAATAAAAGCTGCACCAGAGGCTGCAAACGGAAATATCAGAGTCAGGTCGATGATAGTTCTTAATTTCGAAGATGCACTTGAGGTTACTGAGAGCTTTCACTGGGAAGAAACCCAGGTGATCGAGCAGAAGTGTGTGACTTCAAGACCAGGTCCTCGAAACGTCATAGTAAGCGCATCAAAACAGCTTTTTGGATTGCTGGGAGCCAAGCTCGGGGTGCACGCAGCCAATCGAAAGCTGGCCAAGCACCAGCAATAGCTCAAGTTGATTCACCGCGCAAATTCAAGCAATTTTTCGTCTAGTTTTACACGACCCTGTTGAATACACAAAGACCAGATCACGTTGGTTTTGTAGAAACTTGTATCCATGTAAAAACTCCCGCCTAACGTGCTCCCAAACGCCGGATAAGAAAGGGATATTTAACCACGGCCCCGGAACCCTCCGCGGCCTCTTGGGCCACCACGCGACGAAAAGCCACCGCCGCCCCTGCCGCCTCGGCCTGCACCTCCGCCTCTGCCTCCGAAGCCGCCCCCGAAACCGCCTCTCCCTCTTGGAGCTCCTCTGCCGCCGCGTGGAGCGCCTCTGCCTCCACGAGGCCCGCCTCTACCAGCACCACCGGCTCTCTTTGGTTTTGAAACACCTAAATCATATTGGTAAGACATCATTTTCAAAGGCATTCGCAAAGCATTTTGTCTTACCTGGTGGTGGCTTGGGTTTGGGCAAGAATCTGCAACGCAAGGTTAGCATGAGAACGTAGCAAACGAATCCATGTTGCATACTTTTCAAGAGGGAGCAGCTTATCTCCTCCAATATAAAACTTGTCACCGGCCTTGAAAGACGTGGCAACGATGCCCTCTTGTGGCTTTATCGTAAAATATACCTGGTTGATCGGACCCAAGACCTCGTCTACCTTTCCGACTGGTGTCTAAATGCGAATCATCAGTCTATCTGGAATTGCGGAGTGCGGCAAGCAAGGACGAAGGGTACCTTGTTCTCAAGATATATCGGCGCGTTGAAATAAGGAATTTTCGGATTGATGGACTCGCAAAACATTTCTCCCTCGCAGGCGTGTACGAACGATCCCATTTCTAGAAATGATCAGTGCTTTGACGGTGTGGTTTTCTCGGGCAATTGAATGTACCTAAGACTGTTGCAGGTGGGCCAAACGATTGTTGCATTCCTCCTCGTCCTAACACCGGAGCTCACTGTCAGCTTCTGTTTCAATGAGTTTAACACAACTTGATCGAGGCCTTACCACCACGAGAGCCAAAACCACCGCGATTGGCACCGGTGCCAAATCCGCGGCCTCTGCTACCCCCTCGAGATGCCATAATGCCGATCTTTTAGATGAGTGAGAATGGCCGTTGCTGCGCAATGCTCCCGCTCAGATCGCGAGCCAAAAGAGAGGTTCGGCTAAGATTGTGAAAAATATGTCATCACGTGACACACCGCTCTGCCCGGCGGAGAGGCTAAATTCGTCCCCTCTGGCAATCTAGATCTGGGGACTCAGTCACTCAGACAACCAGGCAGACCGGATCATCGCAAGGGCGGGATCCTGAGACAGTGTGAACTGCAACTGAGCTATCGATATGGGCGAAGAAGCTGACCAGCCTCCGGTTTCTGAGGGTGTCCAGACCGATCTCCCTGATCGGTCTGCCGACTCCCCTCCTGCCCCTCAGCAGAAAGCGGGCAAGCAGAAATCGAAGAAACCGGACGACACCCCGCTCCCCGACTTCATCGTCGCGCGCAACAAATTATTCGACGAGCTTAAAAAGGCTGCCGACGAGGAATTGAAAAACAAACCCCGATTCGACATCACAGTCACCCTCGATCTCGGCAACGGTGCGCCAGCAACGGTGATTGCCAAAGCGTGGGAATCTACACCTGGTTCTTTCTTGAAAGATATACCGAAGGAGTTTAGCTCCAATGTTGTTATCGCAAAACTTGATGGAAAACAACTTTGGGATTTAGATCGCCCGCTGGAAAGAGACTGCAGGGTTTCCTATCTTCCCTTCGACTCGCCGGAAGGCAGGGAGGTGTTTTGGCATTCCAGTGCTCACGTCCTGGGTGAAGCCGCAGAATGCGAATATGGATGCATGCTTTCCCATGGGCCTCCTACTGCTCAGGGGTTCTTTTATGACATGGCATTGCCCAACAAGTAAGCCCTTTCTGCCGAGATTATAGTACTGTTACTGATCCTCGAAAAGTGGAGTCGTCAAAGAATCAGACTGGCCGTCTTTAGATAGCCGATCGAGTAAGATCTTCAAGGAAAAACAATCATTTGACCGATTGGAAGTCTCCAAAGAGGATCTGAAGAAGATGTTCAGCTATAGCAAGTATAAGATGCACTATATCAATAATTTGGTTGAAGGCGAGAGCAGCACTGTCTACCGATGCGGAACCCTTGTTGATCTGTGTAGAGGGCCCCATATTCAAAGTACCGGCAAAATTAAGGCAATGAAGATCATGCAGGTATGTCACCACGAATTACAATCTAGTGGTTCTTGCTGACCTCATTTAGAATTCATCTGCATATTTCTTAGGAGATCAATCGAATGATTCTCTCCAGCGAATTCGTGGTGTCGCCTTCCCAGATAAGAAATCTCTCCAAGGGCATCTAAAATTCCTTGAGGAGGCTGAGAAACGTAATCATTTGAAAATTGGAAAAGAACAGGAACTATTCTTCTTCGATGAAGTCTCTCCAGGGTGTCCTTTCTTACTTCCAAATGGCACTAAGATCTTCAACTCATTGCAAAAGCTTCTCCGCACGGAGTATCGCAAGCGTGGCTACCAGGAAGTCCAATCGCCCAACATGTACGACGTCGGATTATGGCGCACTTCCGGCCACTGGAACCACTACAAAGATGACATGTTTAAACTTGCTGTTGAGAAGCGAGAGTGGGCATTAAAACCCATGAACTGCCCAGGACATTGCATTATGTTCAACCATCGTGAGCGGAGTTATCGAGAGTTGCCACTACGTATGGCCGATTTTGGTGTGCTTCATAGAAACGAGGCCTCTGGTGCTTTACATGGTTTGACTCGTGTTCGAAAATTCCAGCAAGACGATACGCATATATTCTGCACTGAGGATCAGGTATCTCGCACTTGGTTCTCGCTACGCTCTAAGGAGATTCACTAACAAGTTTTGCAGATCACCCAAGAGATTGAAGGCCTTTTCGACTTCCTTCGCGCCATCTACGGGCTGTTTGGGTTTAGCTTTAAGTTGAAGCTCTCAACGAGACCGGAGAAATATCTAGGAAAACTCGAGACCTGGAATTTCGCCGAAGCCCAGCTTAAGGAAGCACTTACCAGGTTCAAGGGCTCTGATTGGGAAATAGATGAAGGCGACGGCGCATTCTATGGGCCCAAAATCGATATCACTATTCAGGATGCTCTTAAGAGAGAATTCCAGTGTGCGACCATTCAACTTGATTACCAGCTACCTCAAAATTTCAAACTTGAATACATGACCAATGAAACAGGAAGACCCAAGGCCACGGATGCCAAAAAGGACGAAACTTCGCCCAAGGGAGATGACGACAATCCATCCCCTGATTCCGACGACGGCACCCCTGGACCTGGGCGTGCTCGGCCTGTCATGATCCACAGGGCCATCATCGGTAGCTTCGAACGATTCTTTGGTATCCTGATTGAGCATTTCGGTGGTAAATGGCCTTTTTGGCTCAGCCCTCGACAAATCCTCATTGTGCCAGTTATGCCAGCTGTCTATGATTACGTGGAGGAGCTCCAGGGGATCCTTCGCGGTGATAAGCTAAATGTGGACATTGACGTCAGCGGGAATACTTTGCAGAAGAAGATTCGAAATGGCCAACTGGCTCAATATAACTTCATCTTTGGTAAGTGTTTTTCTTTTAAGGCAAAATAGCGTTTTGCTAACAGTCACCAAATAGTTGTCGGAGCACAAGAAAAGGAAACCCGCACTGTCAATATCCGGAATAGAGACGATCCTAGCTCACAGGCAAAGGGAAGCTTGATCCCGCTCGATGAGGCTAGAGCCAAATTGCATGCTCTTCGCAAAGAGCGTCGCCTTGTGAATTCTCTTTAGGACTCTCGAAAGTCGATGGCCGTGGGGAAGGCGTTTTCGTAACTTTACAGTTGGAGATGGACTTTGCAATACTATCACTTTGCCAACGTGATACCCGAATGGCTTGATCAAACTACAGAGTTAGTGTCAAGGCATTCGTCAAGCAAGTCCGCTTGGATTGAAATTTTCGCCGTGATTGCAGGTGTAGTCCCCCCAAGGCAGCATCGCCATCCATTCATAGTTCAGGCGGCAAAAGTAGTTGAAGTATAGAGCCATCGGCAACATTCAGATAGAGGAACAATGAAGCTCTCCCTGAGAAAAGTCGCTTTCCTTTTGAGTAGGCCCCTACATGGTTATTAGCATGGGCGCTGATATTCGATGCGTCAATCGATTTCTTGAATGATGAGGTATTCATATTGCCACGGAATAAGCTGGCCAGTCGATTTGCTGGTAATTGCCTGGCTTCGTGTAAAGGAGTTCTCGGGTCCCGACAGGGTTTTCGAATCGACAGCCTAGGATTAGAGTATGACGGTCTAGAAATGATAGTCGAGCCGTTTGGTTGATTGCACCAGACGAGAGTGATATCAGCAGTCATCTGCGCATCTACACTGTGTGACAATTGTCATCACCAAGGGAGGGCTTTCACCCGCCAAAGACTTGAGCCCCAACCTCGCATTCAAGGCATCCGTTTTTAAGCCCAGCCAGGATTAGCAATCACTTCTCAAGTAAAGCGAATCATGAATCATATATGCTGACGGCCTCCAATCAATCCAAACAAAGTGTCTGTCGAGGTCCTCATGAATGGAAAGGGCCGGCATGAGCTGAAGAAATAATGTTGCTGCCTTGAGCGGAGACCATTAATTTCGACGGCTGTGATAACCAACTAATAAAGCCAAGCCAAAGAACTTCCTTCTCGGCGATTCCCTGGTCTTGTTTCAAGACGGCGAATACGGCAGATGTTTGACTTCAACGCCAGCAAAGATCAAGCGGTTTTGCAGACCCTAGCAGTTTGTGATTGGATGAACTTCGCTGGGAAGAAAGTCGATGAGCCTATTTTTTCCGAGCTGAACATTTGCCAACACCTTGCTCCCGCCATGGAGGCGCGGGAGTGAGCAACGGAGACCATGGAGAAGACGCCGAGATGGGAGTTCTCACTTTCTCAGTGCTAAACTTTGAACTGTCCCAACGAATCCAAGGATTCTCAGGGTAGCTTCAGGAGGACAAGGGCAAGTTCAAGGTGTGTAATTGCGCTCGGGAAGCTCTGGCCTTCACCACTATGTTTCAACACCCAACAGGGACCAAGACAATACCGCTTGAAAAGTAGCTTGTTCTTCCGGTAGGGACTGCACGAGGGTGGAATATTGGCGATGCGGGTTGGCTGTGGCTGGTTGCGTCCATGGCGCTCCACCACGCGCTATCAAAAACCTATTTTTTGGGCGTCTTGATGTATCATCAGCCTCGAATGACGATGGTATGCTGGGGTTACTTCCAGCTGACCGATGCAGACAGTGAGGGATCCGCATGCGAGTTATAGGCTTTCATTGCTGAGCATTTCCTGTCCATCACAAAGCGAGTGTCCCGCACGCGGTCGTTGACCCTTGGTCCCTTGCAACGGAGACGCAAGGGCCGGTAAAGGGCGTTGGTTAGCGGCATAGCCTTCACACCGCGAAATTTGCATTGCACTGAATAGTCCGTATATTGGAAGAACGAAGCCAATGGATAGAACCACGCTTCCATTCTAAGACGAATCGCGAATCGTTCTGGGTAACTTAGGGGATGCCTGACGTTCGCATGGCGGGTATGAAACGATGGGCCAAGGCCTTCGATTTCAAGGATCTCGTATCTGGTGCTGGGAACGAAGGAGACTGTCTAGATCCTCGGGCAGCATTCCGTATTTGAACTAACGGCCACAGACCAGCACCCGATCTGCTGAACCAGACTCGATGCCAAGGGGGTGCGATCAACGAATTGTCCATCAAGGCGTTCTTGTCGAACCAAACCTCGAAGCTTTAGTATTAGTACTGCAAAGGCGGACCAGAGCGGTTTGACCTGTTCCAATCTCTGGGATTATTGTTGGTAGCTCATTAGTTAGTTTAGTTATTGGGCGGTGGAGGGAAGCTAACTTTGCGTCTTCTCAGCTGCTGGGCCAGCTTGCATCTTCAGTGAATGGTGAGCTCAAACTGATACAACTTCACACGCCTGCAATTATCGGGACCTCCCTTGTCCATCCTCCCTGCTCACATCCGCCGTTGCGCGTGCCACTCGCCTTTTTAAAAGTTGACCCGGTTGACTTTTCGATCCCGCAAACTCCACAGGTCTATCCTTCAACGGCCCCACGTGTGATTTCTCCCAAGCATCCCCGCCTCAAGAAACCGAGCGGCAGGTCACAGAGTGGAATCTGCATCGATTCGGGACAGAAGACGGATTCCCGTTCTGCACCGGGCTATCGGAGCTCAGCGCAATGGAGCACTTTGGTGGGGGGAAGCCGGACGGTGCAGACTTCGATCTGTCCCAGATCACCACCCAACCGCCTCAAATCTTCGGTGCCTCGAACCCTGATGGCTCGCCCGTTCAACCAGCCCCTCCTGGGACAGCTTTCTCTGAAGACCAGCTGATGGGCAGTATGGATGACAATAATGACGCCAAACGGAGGAGAATAGCCAGGGTACGCCCGTTTGATTATATGGCGTGATCACAAATCTCTAATGGTTCTACTCCTAGGCTTGCGATATGTGCAGGAAGAAGAAGATAAAATGTGATGGGAAAATGCCAAAATGCTCGCACTGCATAAACTACAAGACAGAGTGCAACTTTACGCAAGTTGAGAAGAAAAGGAATCCGCCCAAGGGGTATGTTCTCTTTTTGATTACCATACCATGCAGCCGCATACCGTTTTTCGCTGTGCTAATACTCTACTCCCTGACCTAGAGCGAAATACATTGAAGGCTTGGAAAATCGATTGGGCCGTATGGAGTCACTCTTGCGGCTTTCTGGGTTGTTATCAGAAGTCGATGGCGGAAAGACAGATCTCGGAACACTCGAGCGCCGGCTTGCTGATAGGTCCATTATGACGGGCAACCAGCCCTCAAGGATACCTGCTGTTTCTAGCTCAATGCATTCGATGATGCCGGCTGTATCTTCCCATCAATCCACTCCTCAAGCAGATTCTGGCCCTAGCCCCCGAAGTCCTACGGGTTCGCCCAATTCTCAAAAGGATTCCGAGGCAGAGTTGGATTCGCTTTCGGATATGATGTGCTCACTCGTCACAACCAACTGTGGCGAGACCAGATATATTGGTAACCCCATCTTGCTTGACTCGTTCTTTATATTCGCCTGCTAACCAATATCTACAGGATCCTCGTCGGGATTCTCCATATTCTCCCCTAAAGGTATTCAATGGGTAAATGAAAAAACGGGCGACTCCTCCTTTGAAGATATGATATCATCCGCCTATATAGACGACAACAAGTGGATTTACTGGAAGCCAGAAATTTTCAGTGACATATTTGCCCGTCGAGTATTCAAGCCGTTGCCACCACGGGACGAGGCTCTTTCCCTTTTCAGAGATTATTTTGAGAATTTCAACTGTGTTTTCCCCCTGTTCCATGAACCGACCTTTATGCATTTGGTAGAAAGACAGTATTCACGAGATCCATATGAAGGCTCCGGTTGGTGGGCAAGCATCAATGTTGCCTTAGCGATTGCTCATCGATTACGAGTCATGAGCAACTTGGTGCCACAAGAAGAGGACAAGAAGGCTTGGCTTTATCTGAAAAACGCAATGGGTGTGCTGACGGAGTTGACCATGCGGAATACCGATCTATTAAGTGTACAGGCACTTCTTGGAATGGTGAGTAAAGTCATATCAGCTCAACACGTGTTTGAGGCATCAGTGGAGATACGGCATCTAATGTCCTCGTGTTAGGCTCTCTTCCTTCAAGGGACTCCCAACCCACAACCGAGTTTCTTCCTTGTTGCAGCCGCTATTCGTCTTTCCCATAGCATTGGCCTCCATAAACGTGGCTCCGGATTTGGTCTTAACCCGGTAGAACTCGAGCAAAGGAAGCGGGTTTTCTGGATTGCGTACATGCTAGACAAAGAGTATGTTTTCCTTATGTATCTTGAGCCATTTCTCTGCTAATGCATGGCAGTATCTGTTTACGCTCCGGACGGCCACCGGTGCAAGACGACGATGATATGAACGTTGAACTACCGAGTGAAGACCCGCCGGATAACATAGGAAATGTCCCCCTTTCCGATGGCAAAAGCAAAGTAAACCTGTTTCGGCTGATGTGTCTCTTTGGAACAATCGAGAGCAAAGTTTATAAACAGCTTTATTCTACAAAGGCTGCACGGCAGTCTGATGGAGAGCTTCTCAACACGATTGGAGAGCTTGATAGGGAGCTCGAACAGTGGAAGGACAGCATTCCTCTTGATTTCCGGCCTGAATATGAAATCAAGGCTACACATCGACCTCTCATATTACCAATTGTCGTTCTTCATTTTGCTTACTACAATTGTCTTACCACCATACACCGGATGTCCGTCCACCATGGATATTGGACTAGTCGTTTGTCTAATTTCGCAATTCAAGGCCTCAATGCTCGGCCTTTGAACCCCCGAGTGTTTTCGTCAGCGGTTCTATGCGTATCTGCAGCCCGGGCGTCAATCAATTTGATCAAATATATCCCACAGGGGGATTTCTCTTGCGTGTGGTAAGTGATAGCGCCCGGTACAAGCCTTTTATAGTGCTAACTTGATCTCATAGGTTGATATTATACTTCCCGATTTCTGCTCTGGTCACGCTGTTTGCGAACATTTTGCAAAATCCGTTAGATGCTCGAGCTCGATCGGATGTGAAGCTGATGAATCTTGTTGTGAATTTCCTGTCGAAACTTGCAACGGACGAGTCGAACGGCAGTGTTAAGCGCATGCTTAGTGTGTGCTGCGAGTTTGAAAGGATCGCCAAAGTTGTATTAGATCGAACAGAAAGGGAAGCACAGGCAAAACGAAAGCGTAAGGCTGCAGGAGACGACGCCAACTTCGTCAGCACGCCCAATGAATCCACAGCGAATATGCCTCAGTCTGCGCAGTCTCCATCGACAACCCAAACTCAAACTACTCGAACCTCTCCTACGTTTTCTTATATGCCGAACCCCGCCGCACGCCAGGGAACAATTCCCGCGATGGGCAGTTTCCCATCATCTCTCCCGGGACAACAACCAGTTTTTCAAACTGTCGCACCCGAGAATGGTGCAGGAGTGCTTCCAAAAGCACCCGTTGGAGCCAATCAAGAATTTTCGGAGTTGCTAGGGGGTCCAGCCATTAACCAAGCAGCATCGCTGAATCATGATCAGCCGTACACATCAGATTCCATACCTATTGATATCTCCGCGTTTCAACAGCCGTTTTTGCCCCATGACTTGTGGCAAATGCCAATGACGCTGGAGTGGGATTGGGCCGAGATGCAGAATAACGGCTTCCAGTTTGGCGACGAAGGGACTAACTAAACCGGTAAAGGATTGTCGTCTTTTGGAAAGTTCTGAGTTTCTTTTGGGCATGGGGACGGGATAGGAGTCAGCCAAGGGTATGGATATCGTATTTGCAGATGGGTGGCTTGGACAGCGCTTTAAAAGAGATCATATCCATGCCGGAGCGGAGTCTTTATTGAAATTGGCGTTTACTCGAGGGAAAGCACTACACCCTTGCCATTGATAACGTGTGGAAGATGACATGTCAGTCTTATTTTAGTCGCCCGAAAAGCCGCAGAGTGCTTCGTTAAACGGTTGACTCGGCGTTTGAAGATAGCGCATGGGTTCAGGAATCGGGCATTTGGTTGTTTTTTATTTCCCCACTCTCGCGGAGAATGGAATGTATGTACGTACTTGATGCGAGCATCGGCGACCGTTAATCTGTATGAATATGTAAGACAGTGAGAGCAGAACTGCATCTTCTTGTTGCATCTTCTGATGGCGGCCTGATTTGGTCCGAAAGCTCCTCCGTAGTCTTGGCGCTCTAGAAGGTCGGGCGGATGAGTCAGCACCTGGGCGAAAATTCGACCTGAAGTTGGCCCCAGACGTCGATGGTTCCCCGAGCGCAAAACCTCGACAACGAGGGATTCCGCGGCATCCTCTTAGTTTGTTTGTTCTTCGATATTTCTGCCTGGAGTTTGTGTTGTCGCATGGGGGCTCCAACGGGTCTGTTAGTCCGGCAATTACACCTGAACGACAGTCGACAATTCCACTAGCCCGACACACCCTGTCGCCTCTCACTCGGCCATGGCCACTTTCCTGCGTCGGCCAGGCAATCTTGCCCGATACTCGAGGAGAGCTACAGAATGTGCGGGGTATGCAGCGCGAGGTGCGAGACCTCGTTCGTTGCAACAATCCCAGCTTTCCGCGTTCATATCAGCCCACCCGTCTCCGAACGTATGCCACCGGGAACCCAAGGCGATCCCGAGCCTCCACGAGATCAAAAAGACCCAAAAAAGAGTGACTCGGATGAGTCGGCACGGTCATCGCGGCCGGGATGGGAATGGGAACAATCCCGCAGCGCAATTTCGGAAAAAGGCCCTGAAGACGGAAAGGAGCAAAAGCAGCCGGGAATACAAAGGCGAGCAAGGAGGAGGTGAAGCAGATCGACGACCTTGTCAACTCATTAAAGAAGAATTTCCCGGGCATCCCAGCCGAAAACTGATCGAGGAGGCTGGTGAGGAGCTCAAAAGAGTGCTTGCCTCTCTGAGGGCCAGGAGACACTGAAGCAACTACCCAAAGGGG